GCTGTGTGACCTCGCTAAGACTGGGCTTTTTATTTCCCTTTTCCCACTCTTTCATCTGTCTCCCCTCTTAAAATAGGATTAGTAAAGAGCCAGTTTGGTGTAGTGGTTAAGAGTAAGGTAAAGGTTTCCCTTGCTCGAAAGCCAGTCGAATCCGACTCTAGGGTTGTGCTCATCTCCATTTCCAAGCTGAAGAGCCAGCGCTGTCCGAAGATGTTTCCGTGGTCATGTGGCCAGCATGACTAAACGCCAAGGCACACGGAACACTGTTACCTTCCCACCGAAGTGGCCCCTATTTATCTACTTGTAATGTCTTGCTTTCGAACTGCTAGGCTGGCAGGAGCTGGAACCAGAGACAGGAGCTCACTCCATCATGTGGCACTCGGGTCTCGAACTGCTGAACTACTGACCAGCATCTTAACCACTGAGCCACCACAGCTCCTGTGGTTAAGAGTGGCAGACTCTAATCTGGGAGAACCAGATTTGATTCCTCACTCAACATGCAGCTGCTGGTGTGACCTCGGGTCAGTCATAACTCTCTCAGAGCTCTCTCAGCCCCACCTACCTCACAGGGTGTCTGTTGTAGGGAGAGGAAGGGAAGGAGACTCCCAGGTGAAGAGCAGGATATAAATCCAATCTCTTCTTTTTCTTCATATAGTTTTGAACTAGAGACACAAGTGGCCATTAGGACAAGGGGCTTTTCCAGAAGTTTGGAGAGGGCAATTGATAGACAGCAAGGGAATGTTATGAACTTAACTAGGAGCGAGGGGAATGTAAATGCGTGAAACCTTTCAAAAGATATTTAGCCAGGGTCAGAGAAAACAGGTGACAATGTTGAATTTCAATAGCAAAGGGGGAAACTGCTCTCAGGTATACTTCTAGTGATAACTCAAAGCAGACCTCTGGAGAAGAAACATATTGGGATCAGAGTTCTGTCAGGATGAGATCCCATTGTTCATCATAGTGCAGAATTTTCCACATTTAGGCTAATTTGACTGTTGTGAGGGTAATTTTTGCCAAGTGCAACAGTATTTTAACAGTTCTAAAGCTTTATTTAGTCCTATCTTCCATGGAAATGTGTTGTGTTGTGCTGGAGAATTCTGTCATCTTCTTGTTTAATAAAAAAGTTTGCATATAGAAGTAAATGAAGCTTGAATGTCACTTCAAAGCAGGATAGGAGTAATATGAACTAGGATTGACATGGCCATGAGAAGTGTCCATCATTACCTTCCAAAGTGGATGAGCCATCTAAAATAGTAGAATAGAGCCACCTAGGTATAATCTCCCACAGCCTCCTCCACTACAACAGTAATGGGCTTGTCTGATGTACGACAGAACAAATGACAGGGTGGCCCGGGTCCAAACAGTTTTGTGCTGGTACCATGGGTTCATCAGCAGTCTGTGAATCACTTCTTCCCCTTTGCTGGGTGTGTACATGAAGATATCTTGGCTGGGAAGATGTATGGCTGTGAAAACAATGTCGTATCAAATAAATCAGACTTCCAATGAAGTCACATAGTGTGGGAGACATCATACCCTTGTTTGTTCAAGTAGGGCTGCGTGGCCATGTTGTTTGTAGCTATCTACAAACATTGGACAGCAACCAGTGAAACAAAGTTAATGGGTTCCAGGCAGCTAAATGTGCATGCCTGGCTATACAGGAGCGGGTACCTGACTGTGAGGCCTCGGCAAAGGACTCTCCAGCCCTACAGGGATGCATTTGTAATGTAATGTTTGGGATTGTAGGAGTTGTGATGTCTGTCCATCACTACAGACTGAAGGACTGAATTCAAATGGCCGTAAGACAGTGGTCCCAAGAATGTCAGAGGAAACCATAGACATAGGGAATGGATGTGCAGACACGACAACTGTTGTCATACATCCCATGACACGAAGTAGCCATTGGATCTGAATGTCAGCAGAGAACAGTGGAGAAGTATGTGTGTAAGTGTAAAGTGGTACATACTTTGTTCTGTGGCAAGAAAACTCAACCCACAGTACATAAAGAGCTGTCATGGTATGCTCTGCATTGCCATCACTCAGTATTGTAGACAGGAGACAGAACTTGAGCTGCAACCTGAGGTAGAGACATGGAACCTATTGTGAGAGCCCTGACTCCTCAAGATGGACTGGATCAACTGGGCCACTGATATTAAAGAGGAAGGCAGTGTGAGAACCATGATTCCTCCTGGTTTTCTTGGGAAAGTTAGTAATGGTAGAACAGATTTTAAATCTTTGCTAGCTCTTTCTTTGGCCTAAGGAGGAGGGGACCCACATTCCTTCTACAGCAGTGTGTATCTGGTGGGGTGCGATGAGGGAGGACCTCAGCTTGGATGAGTAGCAAAACGTTCCACTTCCTATATGTTGTTTTAACTGCCACTAAAATGTGTTGAGTCTTAGAAAGGTGCAAGATTCCTGTTTTGTTTTTTTTACTGCAACAGACTCAACACAACTACCTCTATGGAACGGCAACATAATTGTGTCGCTGCCAATTCTGAACGAGGAGCGGTTGTCAAAAGAACTAGTCATTAATTTGTATAACCTGACATAAATTCTGAACTGTTGTGCCAAAATTTAGCTATGTAACAATACAATGCATGTGGGAGGTGTAGGCTTTGTTCCCAGCAGGAAGGCACAAGGGTTGAGTGAACAGACTGGTTTAAGTGTGAGGCTGTCAGGACGGAACAACTTTCCCGTGTGATGATGCACATATACAATGTCTCATATAAACCGAGCCATTTAGACCTGCAGTCCCACTCGGATGTGAAACATTCACATCTTGATGCAATACCTGCCTAGCCTTTTGGATCTGTGGGATGACCAGTGTGCTGCAGTTCAACCAAAGGTGTTCGGCTCATCCAGTCACGTGGTCAAGTTCTTCTGTCCTGCCACTGTCACATTTAAATTGGGTCTCAAAAAAAAGTTACACCCAAGCACAAATCTGTTGTGTTCAGTGCAGAACCTTTCATGGACTCCTTTGCAACATGCAGGGCCATATGCGTCAGACTGAAAGTTTTCTAAATGCAGGAAGTTTGCAAAGCCTTGAGCTAGATTAGAAGTTCTGCCGGCAGTCCCCTCACCAGCCACCAGGAAAGACAGCAAAGCCACATGCTCATTTCTTTCAAGTCACAGCACTGCCATCAGAAGAACACAAAATCTGAACTCCTACCCGTTTGTTGTATTCAGCAGATTCCACACAGAGCTATTTAACTGGGCCTCATCTAACTTCCTGCACATTTTTATTCAGAAGATAGAGCACAGTTTATGCTTCAAAGGAATCACTCCTTGCTGTAGTATGGAGAACAAATCAAGAGAAAAATAATGGCTGCCTATGCAGAGAGGTAACACCCACTCTTCCAGGGGCAATCTGGTTGTGCGCTATTTCTAGGCTTAGCATGGGGTTGTTGAGATTCCCAGCCGTTTATCCGCCTTTATTACCTTGGTGCTTTATGACGTGGGTCTCTTGATTGTTTGGTAAACCCATATTGCACGGAAGGCAGCACAAAAATTCAAACAGATTCCTCAGTTACAAGTGGCACAGGCAGAAGCTGCACCTGCATTAAAGCACCTGCTGATTTGCTTACTCCGTAGAAATAAGTTGTTTCAAACCCCCCCCCTTCTCTGATGATCTTTCCTACATCGTTCGCACAGAGTGGATGCAAAGCAATTTGCTTTAAAGGCCTGGACTATACAAACCCCAACAAAGGTTATGCAGTTTGCATGAATGACTGCATGTCATTGCAGTATACCTGACATGGGGAAAAGGTAATAAAGTTGAGGCTTCTAAAACAGCAGATTTGAGGGCCACTGGGCTATGCCCAGATACATTTCCCTTTGCTTGTGACACGGGGCTGTACATTTACTCCACACTCCGAAAATCTGCCTCAGGATCCATTAAGTCTATTTGAACCATTATTTTGCACCATTTATTTTGCCTGTGGCAATCAGTGGGAAGGGCCAGACCCTCTGTAAGAGCCAGCATGAGGGGATCCATGTGACAGGTTTCTGGCTGGACCTGTTGGATATTAAGACTTTTGTTGAAGACTTGTATCATTATTGCTGGAAGGTTCCAGCCAGTGACTCCAGCTTCTCAAACTGCACCAAACCAAGAAGGGCTGAAACCAAAAGGGGGAAATCTGAGATTCTGCGCCCAAGGGCTTTTCTGCACTTCCACAGAGGCACAACTGAAGACAGAGATGTCTTAACAGTCATTTGGTGGTCGGCATGGATAGTTATATTGCTTTTCCAGACGGGAGCAGGGTGAAGTTTAATTCTTCTGTCTTGGAGGTACTAACTTTGACATTACAGTGCTTCTTTTCCAAGCAGGGGAAGGAGGACAAAGCAATGTATCCCCTAATGTAGAAGGGAGAGAGACAAGAAACTTGACAGAAATAGAATTTCCTCGCTTGCTCAAGACAGATGCCCACCCACTGCAGCTATTTGGACAGAAAACCCAGGAAAAGCAGGCCAGGATTTGGTAGTAATCCAAAACTCAAAAGCGACTTGGCACTCTGGTAGACCCCATGCTAGACTATCCATGTGCTTCCCCCCAAAAAAAGTCTGCACGAAATTAGGGAGCCATCTTTTGAGGGAAAATTACTACAAGGGATGTGGGAATCACCTGCTTCACTCTTGCTTTCCCCTTAGAATACTGGAGTCGCCACTATCCCGTTCCCAATGGGCCTGGGGTGGGAGTATTTTACAGAGTGGACAGGCTTAGTTCTAAAGCATTTTTTTACTACAACAGATGATTTCGTATGGATATCCTTTACTCTTTTACAGTAATTATACTTACCTTTGAAAACTCAATAAAAACAAACAAAAACAGCTCTCTCTACAGAGAGATTCCAGAGAGAAGCAAACAGCTGATGACGTGCCCAGGCAGGTTCCAGAGAAGCAATCTTCAGGGTGCAGTTTCTTCTACCCATAATACTCTCCATACATTTAACTTTTAAAACTTTTATTCAACAATATATATATATATTTGTTATAGAACTGTCCGTCATGCCACAGAGCCTCCCTCCTCTCCCAGCCTGCCAAACAGGAGCCATTTTTATCAGAACGTGGGCTGGGTTTAGGGGAAGGGCACCGAGGTTGGAGGGAAGCCACACGAGCCAGCCACAGTTTTGCATACCCTTCACAACGCCCATGCTTTCTTGGTCAGGAGGAAGTCAACAGGAAGTCAAAGACACAAGTTTGTGTTTTTGTATGCTGTTGGGTGCCGTCAGTTGCCACCACCGCAGTCCCTGTTCCCATAACCTGCCACTGGGATGACTTCTGGAAGCTGCACACCACCATCTCTGTACACAAGCGGATAAGGCGTTTGATTTTGTTCTGGTTATGGAAAATTGGGAGGAACAGCATCAGACAGACCTAGGGAAAAATGGGAAGCGAACATCAAACACAAAGCTGGGATTGACAGCGTTGTGTAGCCAGAATGGTTAGTAACATGAACACAGGCACAGAGGCTAACATACATGCATGCATCACCTACTGCCTGCTGGTCCAACCCCTGCCCTTCCCCAAAGGAGGCCCCCATTGGCATAGTGCCAGCCTTTTCTGCCAGGGTTCCTCCCATCTGCAAAGGAAATGACAATGTCTCTGCTGGCACTGAGCCAAAGTCATGATAGGACTTTGTTAAGACTTAGCTCTACAAACAACATAAGCAACTGGAGCAAGAAGCTCGAAGGTCCTCCTTGGAAATCACATTTTGAACTGCCACCCTGCATTCTTGGCTGTCCTCACAGAGTACTGGATCCAAGTTTGAGCAATAAAATACTTCCGCCAGGCCCTTTCTAGGGAAGTTAGACTTTCCCTGAAGTTCTTTTCTGATAAGCATCCAGGACAGGAGGCAGGAAAGGGTTAACCCTGACTCAGAAGGCAGGCTCAACACAGTCGGAGAGGAAACCTTGCATACCTTAGAGACAGCTAATTACGCTTACACTAGAATTTCAGTACTAAAGAAACAAATTCACCCAGTAGCCTGCACAGCATCCTATACATGATGACCTTCCAAGATCAGACAGAAGGTAACACCCCAGAATCCGCTAACACACCACGGTACCAGGGATCCTATGCAAAGACAAGACTTGCCCTTTACTGACTCTTGGGTATGGTCTGTCAAGTTCTCTGGATTAGTCACTCCAGCATCTCTTATTCATTTAGGACAGCACATGTGTGTTATCTGCCATCAAATCACTTCTGACTTACGGGCAACCCTATGAATCAATGACTTCAAAACATCCTATGGTTAACAGCCTTGCTCAGGTCAGCCTCCAGGAAAAAAACTGCATTATGGTTGTCCCACACCTGAGGTGTGTTGGTGTGTTTTGGGGGAAGTCTTCAGAGGACTTGCCGTAGAACACAGCTGCCAAGAGTGGCATCAGTGTTATGGATTCCAGATACTTCTTTAGGAAATGCGCACACAAAAATCACAAAAGTCAGAGGGGGGTGGGGCTTCAGGGATCTGTCTAGCCCTCCTCATGACTGCAAGAGGCAAAAGGGTGCAAAAAAGAAAGCGCATACAAGGATGCATAACTCAAACACACAACTCGGCTTTCCTTAACACAGCATTGTAATTTTTTAAGGTTCAGTACACACAGCCCTGCTTGCAGTGCCTCTTATGGTAGGGGTAGCATAACCCTAGAGAGCACAAGGCGCTACTGGACAGGAGGTACCATGGACAAAAACCTAGGTCTGTACTGCTGTGTCCTCCTCTGATGCTCTAGCAGTAATTCCTCTCCATCTCAGTGGCCTGGATGTAAGCAAGGTGGCTACACATGTACTGTAATGCACATTAGAGCTACATGCGTACCAAAAAGAGGTGGAAAACACATACAGGGTATTCAGAGCCCCTGGGGACCTCTCTCCCAGGATGTGTATGTGCAAGATCACAGAAGGAAGAAATACTCGAAGTATACTCGAAACTGAAACAGCAGCCTAACTTTTCAAGTATACCCCCTCTTCCCTTGCCAGATGCGGGTGAGTGGGTTTAACTTAACTGTGCATATGTATGGCTATGACCATGTATAACAACACACTTGCTCATGGACTACCAGGGCAGAGCGGGGAATTAGCCACTTCCTAAAACCGGTTCCATGTTCCACTGAATGCTGAGAATACTTTGAGGACCGTCAGACCCTGCTTCTACTCTCCCTCCGTTCCCATGCCAACAACTTCGGTTATGCAGACAAGACTGCAACGCTGCCTTCCCTGGTGGGCATTCGGAACATCACTTTACTTCTCCAGGAAAAGCCAAACACTGGGGAACACAAAAATCATGAGCTTTCAAAACCATTGAGCCCATTAAGATTATCCACACCAGAGAGTAAAAGAGAAGCAACTACACAGGCATGCTTTTAGAATTCCTGCACTTAAGTACAGAACCCCGTGCCTAGGAAACAAGATTCCAGACCGCAAGCTCTGTTTGACACCGTGAATAAAGCAGGTATCTGTGCATATTTATACTATTTAGTCTGATCTCAAGTCTTTTTAAAATACATTGGGAATTGTGGCAGATGGTGAATGGACTGATAAGCTATGGTTAGAGGAGAGTGACTAGAACTCCCTCCTATGACTACCAGAGCCTTCATGCAGGGGTCTAATGAAAAAAGGCTCTCCAGAGTGTATGAGTTTCAGACAGCCTATGTATTCCGTTTCAGGAACTGTTCACTAACGGTTTGTTTCTGTCATTTCAGACAGAACTGTTTTAGTAACTGTTCCCTGACGGAATATATTTACCTGTTCACACAAAAATGATTCCGTCCCATTCGGGAAGCATGCCTAAAGCATTGTTCACTCAAACTGCTTCCCACCAGTCTTCAATCCCTTCCACCGCTTCTGAAGCGCTATGGGGTGCTGTATAAAATGCCCCGTAGCGCTTCCTGCAATGACAGTTCTTTTCACGCCCTTTTTCTCCCCATGCGTGATCGTCCTCTCTCTTTTTTTTTATGTTCTATTGGGAGTGCTATGGCGCTGTACCAGGACTACAAAGCAGCGCCATAGCAACCCCATTGAGATGCCTGGACTCCATTTAGATACACTGATGTTCGCTACCGCATCTCAGCATGGATTTTAAAAGGTAATTTTGGGGCAGATGTATTTATCACGTCTGTTTAAAGATTAAATCACTGAAAATAGCAATAAGCACAAATGTACCAGAACAGCATGAAAAAGGAGGAAGGGCTTTACTAGTTTGGGCTTTGATTAATTAAAAAGCACCAGAATAGCCTGCTACCTGGATTTCAAAACTGTCCAGTCCCCCCTCCCCACTTGAACGCTGTATCCAATGAGCTCCTTGTTTCCAAGGGACAGCAGTAGCGAATGCCACATGCCAGTGTATCTAAATGGAGTCCAGGCATCTCAATGGGGTCGCTATGGCGCTGCTTTGTATGATACAGCACCATAGCGCTCGCAATAGAATGTTTGGGGGGGGGGGAACCCTGTCAGGGAGATCGTGTGCGGGGGGTGGGGGGATGGTGGGAAAAGAAAGCAACACCACTTCAGAGACGGCTCCTTACTGGAAGGGAAAGGCTGTGTGAAACAGCCGTCCCTGTACCGGTTTATTCCATGATGGTACAATAACGGTTTTAAAAGGGTAATGTGAAATTCCTCTTAGTCACTTCAATGCTTGCTGCAAAAAATATGCCCGAAGACAACAGCAACTCACTTAGAAGCAATGGTTAGGCCACTATCAACAAGATACTGCAAACTAAAGCAAGGAGTTCAGCATAAACTTGTTTTGAGAACTACCATCCAAATATTTAGAGCAAAAAGATTAGAAGTGCACCCTACACACCAGCACATGGGAGGCCAGATGCATTGTATTTAAGTTGCAACCCATCCTACCCATAAGACTTTGGGGACTCTCAGGCTCTTGTAACTTCAAGACCAGGTCTCACGGAGAGCACCAACATTGCCTGTCAGCCACTCGCACTCTTATCTCCAATTTCCATATCTAATACACTACTAGCCTTTGATAACCGTTTAGTTTTAAACCGGAGGGTTCCAAGATGGTTCACCTCCTAAGCACCGAGAAGATATCTCGCCCCTGCACGGATCCTTTCCTTCCCTTCCCAGAGACTAAACCGAGGACAAGACAAGTTTGTATTTAGAGAGATTTATTGGTTCCAGTGAATTGTACAAATGGATCTGACCTGATATCAATGCTAACTTCTTGTTCTTGGGATGTGGAATGTAAACAGATGTTTCAAATAAAGACAGTCTAACCTTTACTTAAATTAAATATTTAACAATGTAATAGAAAGGGGAGGGGGGAATCTGCATTTAGGTATGGTGACAAAAATTGTGGATTTAGCTTTGAGGTCACCAGAATCACATAATATAATCCCACCTCTCCAAAAAAGTAACTATGGGGCTCAGAGAGAGACCCAAATGGAAAAAAACAATAAGCAGCATCTCACACACCCCTTCCCCAAAGGAACAGCTCCAACACTGGACTGGCATGTAAAAAAACACTACAGGGATCTAAACCCTGGATACAGGAGCTGCACCCCTGAACAAGCCCCTCTGTTTCTGGCTTCCAAAGTTTCCTGCTGGCCTCCTTGCCCACATGGCCTCTTTATGACTCCATGCACTATGTGGCTGCTGGAGTCAAAGCAACCCTGCATTTGCAAATCCCTGGGAATTACAATGCTGGCTTTTCTAGTGAATATGTCTTGCCACGCAAGAGCTATAGGAAGTTCTCTTTAGCTTTCCTCCTGCTAAAGCAGACACTTCCCTACAAAGGGGACAGTGAGGATTTTCCCCAACAGCTGCCTGTTCTAAATGTGTCTTGAAGAATACCAGCTTGATTGACCCAAGCCATTCCCAAGATCTGCTGTTTAAACTGGGAATAAAAAAACGCCAAGGGCCAAACTGAGACCCAAAGGAAACAGGAGTGACACCCACCACGCTTGCTTTTGCTTATGCCTGATGACATGGCTTGTTTCAATGGGATGCATGCTACATTCTAGTAGGGGGTAGGAGGCAATCAAAAAGTTGCCTGATGGAAGAACTGAAAAAAAAACCAGCCAGTTAGGAGGAGTAGGAAACTGCAGAATCAATCTGGAGCCCAATGGTGCGGCGCACACCCTTGTATCCACACAGATCTCGCTCACTGTTTAGTGCCAGGGCTTTGGTAACACAAGGAGAAACTTAGGGTAGCCATAAGTGCTGGAGAAAGATGGAGGCGAAGCCCTAACCCCCTTTCAAGACGAGGCTTCTGCTGAGCTCACAGGTTTGGTTCACCCCTTCCCTGGGGACTGAAGGGTGTGTATTTGTAAACCTCTGGAATTACCCGTCGTTTCCCAAACTTCATCGTGCAGCTGTCAGGCCACTGGAGAGCACAGAACTGTCGGAGCTGGGCTGGGCCTGCTCCTTCACAACCGGATCTGCAGGAGAGGAGAAGAGGTTACTGAGACTCACACAAGGCCCGCATCTACTGTTCGACCCTTTTGGAAGGGTTGAGGTTTCCCAGGCGTACTCCAAAGAAGCCAGAAAGCCTCTTCCAGCCATAAGTGAACCAGCAAGGCTAAATGTGTCGACTTCTCCCATTCCCCCAGGAGTTCTGCCACACCTGACACTTTTTCAGGGAAGGTCAGTGCAGCATTGGTGTAATCCTGGTTTAAAGTGGCATTCACCAATGCTCTGTCATGCACTTTTGAGAAAAATGTCCCTCTTGACAGTTTGAACATTTAGCTGAGGCATCACTGGAGCAACAGGCATGGGTGAGCCAAATCTCTGGGAAAAGAGAAAATCTGCACTGTACCCTTATTCCTAATGATATGTTGAGTCTTAGACCGTTTGGGTTTTTTTGCATTCTAATTCTGTAATCCTAGTCCTACTCCATTGTTTACTGGAGGTCCTCGCTGTTCGTTTGAACGGATTTCTGTATTTTGTAATCTGCCTTGAGTCTCAGCAAGAAAAGTAGACTGCAAATGAAGCAAATAAGATTTCAAAAATAACAGCTTAAATCCGCCCATCAAAAGCTGAGTCAACTCTGGACCCCACAGATAACAGACTGACTCCTATTCTTTACAATATGACATTGATCTTGTCAGAAAAGGCAACTCCAAACACACCTACTTGATACCACCGTCAGCTAGGCCTTTCTCAAGCCCTGGCTGCCATGGGAGTGGGGAGTGTTAAGTTTCATTTCTGGTGTGTCTCCTCTGTTTCTATTATCTCTGTATGACCTTCAGTTCCTGGTGTAGTCTTTTCTCTTGGGAAAAGTAGCCCGTTACTTTGGCGGGCTTGTACCTGAACCCTGATTGGCCCTGGGCCATCAGGGGGCCTCCTTGAATAATGTATATCTGTTTGCTGCACACACTTTTCTTCAGTTCTAACACGAAACGGTTAAGATATCTGCATACTCTCAATGTCTCAATAAACTTTACTTCTTTGAATGAAAGCTGTTGGGAACTGATTGCTGAAGGAGTCTGACGACCACTTTAACATCCCTCCTCAAAACCCATGGAATTTTTTATTCGTTTAAATTGTTTACATCTTTCTTCCAATCAATGAGACACGGAGTGACTTCCATCAATTAAAACCAGCTAAAATCTCAACATAAATACAGGTAAAACAAATCAGACCATAACATCCACTCATGAGTCATCAAAAGCATGTCATAAAAGACCCCCCTGAAATCTCTGCAAAGTTTGGGCCTCTCTCACGTCCTTATGGAGCCCATTCCATAACAGAGGACCGGCGTCGGAGAAATCCCAAGCACAAACAGTTCTCACTAACCTCAGCGGAGGAACTAATAAGAATGTCTGGTCCGATGAGGCCTTTTAATTTACCCTCTGCTCTCAACGAACCTAAACTAAGATTCTACTTCCCACACTCATCACAACCCCCCTCCCAGCGGGGGGAGATGAGAATGAAGAGAAATCTGACAGTTTTACTTAGGAAGCTCTGAAGTGCCACTGCTACTGCTGTATATATAACAACCCTTCAATCCAACAAGAAGCTGCATCCAGGCAGCTTAAAACTAGTTTTCCAATTCAGAAGATGCCCAGGCTCCAAACAGCATGTTTTTCTTCCTGGACCTCTACTCAGAATCTTCAGCTTTGATTTTAAAAGATTTTCACAAAAATCCACACCAGGTCCCGCCCACCCCCATAGTCCTGGAAATCACTGTTCTTGACCTTCTTAAACCCAGAGAGTTCCTCCCTCAAAAGGTTGGAAAATGATAGTAAAGTGGGATAGCTCATAATTATACAGCAAGTATAAACAAGTGCCTAACAGAATGGCCACCCACCCCCACCTGTGATCCTATTCCCACAGAAGGCTTACAGAAATAGGGGTGCTCCATAGCTTCTTTGGCAGTCAGCCTCTGTTGATGGTCATATCGCAGGAGTTTGTCCAGAAGATCCAAGACTTCAGGGCTGACCAGGTGTCTGTTCTCACTATGGATGAAGTTCTCCCAACGTTTCCGCGAATGCCTGCAAGCAAGGTGAGACAGTCAGTCTGTTGCACTGAAACCACTCCAGGGAAAAGAGATGAAACCCAGAAAAGAGATCCATCATATTTCAAACACACTCCAAGCTGAGGCAGATTTGGATCGCTCGCTTGCTTCCATCTTTCAGTATCACTAACACAAACATAAAGATTTACATCTATTTTAGAAGACTTTGCATATTTTTTCAAGGTACTAAAAATGCAGACATTCCCATAGATTAAAAAAGCTAATAATGTGATTTGATTCTCTTTTCTGACTAGAGTAGCTTAGCTGCTTCTCCTTATAAAAATTATTTCTCATTTATTTAAAGTAAAAGACCTGTAAGGATTGGAAAAGCAATCACTCATAACACAACTAAAACAAAGTCATATGAAGACAACAGCAGTCATATATCTTCATTTAAACTATTGTGCGTTTGCTGTTTATTAGAGAACTGTTTAGAGAACCAAATTTTATAGGCCTTTGGATTATGCTTTGAACATACACTGTTAAAAGCACAAGACAAAAGCACCATAAAAGTCAGTTTTCTAATAAACAACTGAAGGAATGCTTTCCTAGACCAGGCTTTAAGATGCATTAACATCCCAAGAATATTACAACTAGGGACATTTACAAAATCCACATGTGCTGAATTGTTCCCCACATTTTAGGGTTCCACATTACTGAAAATCTATATTGGAGAGGAAACCATCATGTCAGAATCTGCGATGCTTCAGAAAGTATGTACAAAAAAACTTGAATATAAACCATTTCAAAAGAAAACTAGTCTCTTGGGTACCAAAATTATAAATATTTTTTGACACTTGAGGGATCTAGCTTTGAAGAAGTTTCTTTCATATTTTGCCAAAGTACCGATGTTCTGTTGCATTTCTGTGAAAAGACAGGGTTTGGATTTTTTAAAGTTTTTTTTTCCTTTCTAGGAAGCTGTTTAAGATCGAAAGTATATTTATAAATCTCAAAGGAACTTTGTTTTTGTGTGAAATCTGTTATCTGCTTGCTCAAAGTTGTCTTTGATGTTCGAGAGGATCTAAAGTAATATTGTAGAAAAAGACCACAGGAGAACTGAAGGACTCTGCTCATCCCTATTTCCATCAGAGCTGGAGACAGGCAAGCCTGTACATAAGACATGCAAAGAGCCACACTGGTACAGACAGGCTGGTCCCGTCCCCGTCCCCCAAGCCATGTAGTACCTTTTATCAGAGCCAGCCAAAAGATCACAACATAGCATGCAAGCTTTCAAGTGTTTCAACAAACTGGACACTCAGTTTAAGAAAGGGGGGGGGAGTATTGCCTCCAAGCACAGTGGCAATGATCCAAGTCTGCAGTTGTAGCTCTAAAATGGAAGACGGGACGTGCTGCAAGCTAAACTGGATTAGATGGCGCAAAGAGAGGTTTCAAGTTCCACTGATGACCTGATGAGCCAAAAACGGAGAGGGGGAAAAATGGCATTCACAGTTTGTGAATACAAGAAGCAGGAGTCAATTAGCCCTGATTCAGACGCACAGCTCCCCAGAAAGAGAAAAAGAAAAATGTGACAGTTCTCCCATGAGAACAAAGTTGGAGACTCTTTTACCTAGTACAATATCTTAAAATTCATCTCCAGCTTTGTACATCTAATAGTAATCATGTTTTCCTTTTGCTCTCTGTCTTACCAGGGACCTGTGTTTCTAGTGCTGGAGAGGCACTTGATTGCTACCTTCTAGATTCCCAAAGGAAGAATGCCAGACAACAGTACGAGAGAGCAAATATGGAGCCAAAAGCTCACGCAACACTGCAAAGAATGAATCTGCCTGATTGTCTGAACCCACAGCCAACAACGGAGTACACGCTTTCAAGAAAGGTTATAAGAGCTATAGATGCATTAACATCTATCCAGCATTCCGATCCTCGAATTGAGCCAGCAGGGCCCACATAAAAGCATCCAGATTTATTAGCTCAGGGCTCTCTGTGTTGTGCAGTCCCACATACCAGGCCCCCACAGGGCCCCTCAGGCGGGCCGCCACCACATCCACTCGACTGCTGTCATCTGGGAACAGGTGGCCCGATTTTTCCACGAATTTCATTACTTGAACCACAAAGTAGGCAAGTTCTTCAGGGTTCCCGTCGAACGTGGCTTCGATGAGGTCCTTTGGACGATGGATCGTGGGACCTCTTGGACTGGCTGGTTGGGGCGCTGGAACCAGGACCTCCGGAGACGGCCTGAGCACTTCTCCCGGCGGTGGTGGTTGGGGAGGTTGCGGGGGTTGCTGGGGGGGTTGTTGCGGGGGTGGCCACCGGTTGAGCCTGTCTTTTTTCTCTGATGGCTTGAGTTACCAATTGCGTTATCGCTGGAACAGATTCTCCATGTCCCTCTGCAGTTGCCGCCGCTCTTGGTCAGCCACCTCCATCCTGTGGGCCCATTCCAGTCCCCCGTCTGGGGACACACACCCACTCCTCGCCTTCGACCGCTCCATCACCCACGCTGCCGGCTGCGATTCAAAGGAGGCCCCATACGGGGGTAAGCTTCCTGCTGGGAACCCCAGGTCAAACCTGCTATCTCTCCGGGGCCCTTGTGTCAGCATATAAGTCTCTTAAAGTGGTCCCAGCTGGAGTTCGGTCGATATCCCGGCCGGGGTGGATGTCTGGGCCCTAAGGGAGTCAGGAACATCAACGTAGAGGTTGTTTTAGGGACAGCACCCGTCCCAGACGCTGTCACCGGCACTGAAGGCTGGGTTGTAGGAGTCACCCCCCCAGTCGTGGTAGGGGTCGGCTCCTTTTCGCCTTCCTCCTCCTCCTCCTCCTCCTCCTCGTGGTTAGGGTTCTCCTCTCCGGTGCTCATCTCGATTTAGGAGAGAGGCACATAGATAGAGAATGAAGGATTCTTAACAGAATGTCAGAACCCACAGCCAACAACGGAGTACACGCTTTCAAGAAAGGTTATACTTTTATTGAAGAGCTATAGATGCATTAACATAGTCACTGTTAAGAATGGCAGTTGTCCCTTAGACATAATAAGATATAGGGCATTCGTATGCACCCTCCCCACTGGGCTGGACAATTAGGCACCCTCCCACGCACGGGCTAAAGCCAGCAAACTGTTTCTAGGCGAAGCTGGGAACTGTCCGGCTCCCACGGCTGCCTGGAAAGGCAGACAACACACACTCCCACCTGCAAATCGTTATAGATAAGCTTTTCGGCGCAAAGCATAGACAAGAATGCGAAAGTAATTTACACAGACTCTGACTGAGCATCCCAACCCCCATGGCAGCATAGCTGACACTGGTATTCAGGGCTTGGAAATTCACAGGCTACAGAAAAGAAGGAAAGCAGCACCTGCTAGTCAAAGAGAGAAGCCCAAATGTCACACTAATGGTACCCCGACAACTTACTGTCCCAAGATGTCGTTGAAGTGTGGGTCCAGTTCTATGTGGTACTTCTTCAGATAACCATATAATTCATCTGTACCCAGCACCTTCGCAATGCGAACCAGCTGTAATAAAAAAATAGACATGAATAACCAGGCTAAGGAAACACATGTAGACATCTATTACTTTGGAGTTAACCTCTCTAAACCATTTTGGCTGGCTCAAGTGCTCCCAGTTCAAGGATGATGGGTAGATGCCGGGCAAATGACACCCTCTCCTGGACCTGCTGTGCCAGGATAAATAATCTTCTAAGCACAAAGAGGAGTTTTCATTTCTTTTGAAATTCTCATACCTGCGGTAAAGAGGGACAAGTCAGCAGAGGCTCGGCCCTGACCTGTGCTTCTGGTGTTTCAAAGCATCTAGAATAGCTCTGCCTGGTGACTGCAAGTTTGGCTTTGCTTAAAAACTCTGGATGGGGAGGTCAGAGGGGGGGAAATGAGCTCCGCATCCCCTTGCTGGAAAGACAAGCCACTACTGTTCAATGGGAAATGCCATGTCAGCCCATCTTATTTCACTTGCCTGCTTACAGCAGCTATGCATGGAAGTGACCTTTGGCCAATGCTCACTGAAGGAGCAGATGGAAATCCATGAGGAGGCAGGAAATCAGGGTCACCGAGACTCCAAATTAATGCTGGCCTCCCTCACTTTCCAGGCAGAGACAGCTGTCACACAGTGATTCCCCAAAGCAATTTCCTCTTTATTTGGGTCAGTTACTGTGGTTTAATCTGTAACATGCAACGGTCATGGAGTTTGTCTACAGAGTGACTGAGGCAAGTCACTTCTGCGACTTCACTCTCCAGGCTGAAACACAGCTCAGCACAGGAATCAGAAACTATGTCCTGTCTCAGTTCTGGGTAAACTAAGACAGAACATGTCTTGATTTTTACTTCAAATTAGGTATCCCTTTTTTGTTAATTCAGATAGCAGTTTTAAACTGTTGACAGGAATAATTTTCATCAAGATACATGTTTATTTAAAATATGTCTCTTTATTTTCATGTTATACTCCTCCCACAGTCATTAAGTGAAACTACCACAATTTCAAGTGGGTCATCTACTTTTAAGGAATCAACTGAAGCTTAAATGGCTGTTAATACATATGGACACTGAGGCTAGGCTTTGGTGCATTCTGGAAGTGGGAAGCTATCAGAGGCCACAGCTTGCCCACACAACAAAGCCAGAGGAGAACAGTTGTCCTCTTGCTTCCAAGGGAGGCTTATACCCTTGTGTTGGGCCAGCACAGCACTGATATGGCCTCCCATAAGTTCTGAAGAGAAGCCTCTGCATGGCATTGAAGGGAGCTTCTCTGATTTAGGGAGAGGCCAACACCCTTCCACTTCTGCCACACCTGGGTGCTGTCAAAAATGCACCATAATAAAGTGGTCACAAATTCTGAAGTAGTAAATGAGGTAGAAAGGATCCTCCTGTGATTTCACATCACATTTTCAAGTATGGTTCTATGTGAGAGCCAGAAAGCTTAAAGCCGCCCTGAGCCTGCTTCAGCGGGCAGGGCAGGGTAAAAGTTGAAAAATAAATGAATGAATGAATGCAATTACCGAAAGATACTGGGCCACAGCATTCCTAATACTCAAGAATCTCTTTTGTTAAACCACTGGGAGAACACAACATTAACCAAGACAGGTGCAGGGGTGGCAACCTTGCTATTGATAGCAGCTAAAACATTAATTGCCCCATTTTGGAAGACGAATAAAATCCCTACAAGACAATGGTTTTTGAAAATTTGGGATATCGTCATTTTAGAAAAAAATTGTGACAATTATTAATTGGAGACAATTCTTCAAAACAATTGAATTTTTGTGGAGAAATGGTTTTCCTTTTTTTTCGTATACCACGACGAATGTGAATAAACATAATTTTCCAACTAAAAAATATTTAGACTTTGTATTTTATTAACTAATTAATTAATTTAATTAATTGTATTTTATTAATTCGCTGGATTATGGAGAAATCAAGGGAGTACCAGAAAAACATTGACCATGCTAAAGCCTTTGATTGATTTGATTATTATTAAGATCTAGGATGCTTTGCTCCAAGGCTGGAAGCACATTCCCCTTAAGCCTTCAAGGAAAATACTTTAAATCGAAAAGCTTACAGAAAGAGGTTATGAACTGGGACATCCTTTCGCCACCAAAGGCTTAAGATGCTTAACATAATTCCTTCTAGATTCATCTCCACAATGGGTGTGGAATGGAAAACCCGTGCTCAACAAGCACCCTTTCCCCTTACCCGTTTCTCACCTGGTCATAGTTGTCTTGGCCGTGGAAGAAAGGCTCTTTTCGGAAGATCATACTTGCCAGCATACAGCCTAAACTCCACATGTCTAAGCTATAGTCGTACATCTGGGGAAGGGAAACGTCAGAAGCAGCAGTGAAGGACAGGCACATCTCATTAGTCGGCTGCACACATTTCAGTCTCTCAGAAACCCAGACTGACTTTCAAAAACAGCACAGCAACAGCACTAGCTTCCACAAATTCTATACAAGTTTTTTTTAAATCCTAGAAAGGAACAACTCCAAAGGAGGCTCCAGTGCAAACTGGTGCTCCCTGGATTTCCCCATCTGCTTCTCACAGCACATAACTGGTCCTGTCCATATGGGCTGCCACCAGCTACTTCCAATGAGAGCTCAGACTCTGTTAGGGCAGTTTTGGATTAGGAGCATGTCCTGTGCACATGGCCCAGTCTTACCAGTCCATATTACCAGTTCTTACCTTAGGGCCAAACTACACATTATGTGGAAGATCCATGAATGGATCATGAGCATCATCAACCTCAATCTTTCCAAAGCAGTGAGGGGGCAGTGCAGAACTGGACTGGCTCTGGGGATGGTGAGTTAATTCTTTCCCTGAATATTTTTTTCTCTACAGAAATCATCCCTGCAAAGGTGCTATTAGCTGCGACAGGAGTATAAAGGCTTGGTGTTGTTAGAGGTGTCTGTCTTTTTCACCAATGCAACTAATAACAGCTTCCCTCCCTCTGCCCATCCAAGCTGCTTTGAAGACTTAAAAGGCAAGAGATCTTCTCCCATTGAATATATGATGAGGGTCAATCATGCTTGGCCTGCCACAACATGACCTCTGCTTTTTCCACTGTTCCTTCCGCCTTGTGACAATTTCCTTCCCTGGACTAGAGGTTCGGGATGTGTCATTTGCAGAGTGTGAACCCCACAATATACATGGGCAGACCCTGAGCTGCTCATCTAAACACACTGTAAAAAAGAGCAGCAAGAGTCTAGAGTCACTGCTCACAAAATTTTGTTAAGTCTTTAAGGTGCTACAGGACTCTTGCTCTTTTCTACTGTGACAGACTAACACAGCTACCCATCTTGATCTAACCAGACTGAAGAGGGACAGTGTGCTTTTTTTTAAAAAAAAGTTTTTTCATGAGCTAGGTCAACGTTTCCTTGACTCAGCTCTGATATTCTAGTTGTCCCATAACACCTGTTGGGAACAGATCAGGTACAATTTTAGATAGATGGACACAATCACTGAACAAACCGGAAAACAAGCTGAGAACTGTGACAAATTAACGCTGAACAATTTTTCATCAAAAATATATATTACACAAATTAGTGTACAAATAATATAAATATAAATAGTAAGTGTAGACGGTGGTCTCCGGAATGTCCTGCCGTTTCGACAATAATCTTCTTCTGAACAAAGATGAAAGACCTTACCAAATATAACAAAATTGACCGTGTAAGAATTTTAAGGAACTATACAATTTCATTAACAATAAAAGTTATCAATAAAATTGATGTGGAAAACCTTACACGTAGTATCTCTCAAGAATTCATTTCAACTGGTAACATATCAATATTTCATGGATTTGATGATTCTACAAAATACAATATCACAATTACAATTCAAGTATATTAATTATCATGAGAATACATATAGATTCGTATAAAATTTGTATGAAAACTCACCGACAATCATCATAGCTGCAATTTCAAGAAGAGCCTTCCGTGGACAAATTGTATTGTAATGCCTTACCAGGTGGATTACATTATAGGCATTATATACTATCTGGATAAACTGTGTTGAGTGCTAGAGGTGATTAAGACAATAGCTATTGTAGAAAAGATATTCGCGAAGTACTTTTGTTAAGGGAGACGTACTGAATTTTCAAACTCAACATGGTTTATCCTTTTGGTCTCAATGAATCCCTGGATTTGGCTTGTTATCTTTAATGTGTGTCACCAAATAATGAGTTAGCGTAAGAAAACATTCCAGATAGAGATAACGCCTATATTAGGGCGAGGTCTATGCAATAGTTGGCAACCATACATAAGTAGTTACAGAATCAGTTTGATAATAGAAGAGTGTAGTATATAATGCCTATAATGTAATCCACCTGGTAAGGCATTACAATACAATTTGCCCACGGAAGGCTCTTCTTGAAATTGCAGCTATAATGATTGTCAGTGAACATAAGAACATAAGAGATGCCAATGTTGGATCAGGCCAAAGGCCCATCCAGTCCAACACTCTGTATCACACAGTGGCCAGAAATACCAGTGCCATCAGGAGGGTCCACCAGTGGGGCCAGGACATTAGAAGCCATCCCACTGTTGATCTCCAAGCTAAAGAGCCCTAAGCGCCTTAACCGTTCCTCATAGGGAAAGTGTTCCAACCCTTTTATCATTCGAGTTGCTCTTTTCTGCACTTTTTCCAAAGCTATAATATCCTTTTTAAGGTGTGGTGACCAGAATTGCACACAGTATTCCAGATGAGGTCGCACCATTGATTTATATAGCGGCATTATGATATTGGCTGATCTGTTTACAATACCCTTCCTAATAATCCCCAGCATAGCATTGGCCTTCTTTATTGCAGTCACACACTGTCTCGACATTTTCAGTGAGTTATCTACTACAACTCCAAGATCTCTCTCTTGATCTGTCTCTGCCAGTTCAGACCCCATCAACGTGTATTTATAGTTAGGATTTTTGGCTCCAATGTGCATCACCTTGCACTTGGCCACATTGAACCCCATTTGCCATGTTGACGCCCACTCGCCCAACTTTGACAGATCCCTTTGGAGTGCCTCACAATCCTCACTGGTTTTCACCACCCTGAACAACTTCGTATCATCCGCAAATTTAGCCACTTCACTGCTTACTCCCAACTCCAAATCATTAATGAACAAGTTAAAAAGCAGTGGACCAAGTACTGATCCCTGTGGTACCCCACTGCTTACACCCCTCCACTGGGAGAACTGCCCATTTATACTCACTCTCTGTTTTCTATTAATTAGCCAGTTTTTGATCCATAAAAGGACTTGTCCTTTTATCCCATGATTTTTGAGCTTGCTTAGGAGCCTTTGATGAGGAACTTTATCAAAAGCTTTCTGGAAGTCAAGGTAAACAATATCTATTGGATCCCCCTTGTCCACATGTTTGTTCACCCCCTCAAAGAACATTAACAGGTTAGTGAGACAAGATCTTCCCTTACAGAACCCATGTTGAGTCTGCCTCAATAGGTTTTGTTCATCTATGTGCCTACTAATTCTTTCCTTAATAATGGTTTCCACCAATTTACCCGGTATCGACGTCAGACTGACAGGCCTGTAATTTCCCGGATCTCCTCTGGAACCCTTTTTAAAGATGGGAGTGACATTAGCTACCTTCCAGTCCTCAGGAATGGAGGCTGATTTTAAGGAGAGATTACATATTTTTGTCAGGAGATCCACAAGTTCACAATTGAGTTCTTTCAGAACTCTTGGATGTATGCCATCTGGGCCTGGTGATTTATCAGTTTTTAAGTTGTTTATCAGTTTTAGGACCTCCTCTCTCGTCACCTCAATCTGACTCAGGTCTTTCAACACCCCTCCCGAACTCAGCGGCTCTGGAGTGGGCAAGCACCTCTCATCTTCCACAGTGAAGACGGAGGCAAAAAATGCATTTAGCTTCTCAGCCATTTCCCTATCATCCTTCAGTACTCCTTTTACCCCTTGGTCATCCAAGGGCCCCACTGCCTCCCTGGCTGGTTTCCTGTTTCTAATGTATTTGAAGAAAGTTTTATTGTTGGTCTTTACATTTTTTGCTATATGCTCCTCATATTCCCTTTTTGCATGCCTGACCACAGACTTGCATTTTATTTGCCATAGCCTGTGTTCTGTTTTATCAGCCTCACTGTGACTAGCTTTCCACCGCTTAAAGGAATCCTTTTTACCTTTTACAGCTTCCATTACTTTGTTTGTTAACCATGTAGGCTTTTTCTTATACCTGTTTGTGCCTTTCCTAACCTGCGGAATATATTTTATTTGAGCTTCTAGAATTGTAGTTTTAAACAGTTTCCAAGCTTCCCCAATGGTTTTGACCCTTTCTACTTTTCCCTTCAGTTTCCTCCCCACATGTCCCCTCATATCAGAAAAATTACCCCTTTTAAAGTTAAAAGTGGTTGTGTGAGTCTTTTTGGCCAATTCCCTATTTGTACAAATGTTGAACTCAACAACATTATGATCACTGTTCCCAAGCGGTGCAATCACTTTTACATCTCTCACCAGGTCTTGAGTGTTACTTAGGACCAAATCAAGGATCGCCTCTCCCCTGGTAGGTTCCATGACCATCTGCTCCATAGCACAGTCATTTAGAGTGTCTAGAAACTCAATCTCTTTCTCTCGACTAGAACACATATTGACCCAATCAATGTGTGGGTAGTTAAAATCACCTATTACGACACAGTGTTTTTGTCTAGCTGCTATCTTTAATTCATTCATCATTTTATAATCCTCCTCTATCTTTTGATCTGGTGGGCGATAACAAACTCCCAGTGTTAAGTTTCCTTTTGGCCCCCCTATTTCAACCCACAGAACTTCAAGAAGCGAATCCAATTCTCTTAGCCTCTCAATCTTTCTGGACTTTATACCCTCTCTGACATACAGAGCTACCCCACCTCCAACCCTCCCCCCCATCCTTCCGATATAATATATAACCGGGAATCACCGTATCCCACTGATTTTCCTCATCCCACCAAGTTTCTGAAATACCCACAATGTCTATTTTTCCCTCCGACACCAAGCACTCCAACTCCCCGATTTTACCTCGGACACTTCTAGCATTTGTATAGAAACAGCTGTAATTTCCCATACTCGTTAAGCCTGCCACCTTCCTCTTGCTATCTCGAGACCTTGTCAGGCAGTCCATGTCACTAGCCATGGTCTCAGTGGACAATTTCAATCCACCTCCCTGTATAAAAGCAACAGGCACCCCCTAATCTCTCTGAGATGAGCCAACCCGAACCAGGGACTTTTCATCTCCTGTCGGCTTTCCCCCAAAATTTCCCCCAGTGAGTTTTCATACAAATTTTATACAAATCTAAATGTATTCTCATGATAATTAATATACTTGAATGGTAAATGTGATATTGTATTTTGTAGAATCATCAATGAAATCCATGAAATATTGATATGTTACCAGTTGAAATGAATTCTTGAGAGATACTACATGTAAGGTTTTCCACATCAATTTTATTGATAACTTTTATTGTTAATGAAATTGTATAGTTGCTTAAAATTCTTATATGGTCAATTTTGTTATATTTGGTGAAGTCTTTCATCTTTGTTCAGAAGAAGAAACGGCAGGACATTCCGGAGACCACCGTCTACACTTACTATTTATATTTATATTATTTGTACACTAATTTGTATAATATATATTTTTGATGAAAAATTGTTCAGCGTTAATTTGTCACAGTTCTCAGCTTGTTTTCCGGTGGGAACAGATCAGGGTCTTGGGGGGTGAATTTTCCCAATCCTCAGTGCCCTGAGGGAAGCGTTATCTGCCCCACCGGGAGTCTGCATATGCACTAAAAACTAAATTTCTGACCAGGCTTATGGAGAAATGTTAGTGCACAGTTTGGACCTTAAAGG